ATAGTATTTAGGAAATTGGAAAAAAACTAAAAATCTATATTTCTGTTTTATGTCACTTTTTAGGGTTTTAAAAATTTTTGGGTATGTGCATATATTACTTTCTCTAATACACTAGATAAATAATACTCTTGTTGTAGCCAAATATCATTATCCATTCAGTTTGAAACCATTTCATTATATAAAAATAAAATTAAGTACAAAAGAAATTACAAATAGCTTTTACGATAAAGTGCAATACAAAAAATACTTGTATTTATTTTAATCTAAATAAAAACGTATACTTTAATATTATATAGATAAAAAAAATTAAAAGATTACAAAAAAATTAGTATATAACGAGCATAGTCAATGTGCAATGCACGTCATGAAAAATACTAGTATATATAGAAGTACGAATGGGGAGGGGAACATCGGGATTGCGAAAAACGTCCCTATTAAGTTTATGAATTGACAAAAATATCATTGGATATTTTAATTTTATTAGTTGTAAAATAACAGTAATTTAATTTTAATTAATCACATTAATTTTCTATTTAAATCTAGAATTCTATTGGATAGATTAATAAATTTTATTATATATTATATAAAGTATACATTAAATATAGTAAGAATACATTAAAGTATACATTAATAAATTTTATTATTGAAATTATCGTATTTAGTAATAAGGGCTAAAATTTTTAACTTAAAAAACTGAATGATATTATTAAATATCCCTTAATTAGTTATAGGTCTTAGAACTTATTTCTTATTAAAACACTTAATTAAGAGTGTGTTAATTACTTCACATAAAAGCTCAAAAACATAAAAGTTCAAACTAATTCATTTAATTTAGAGTTGGATAATTAATTGGTATAATTAGTTTTATATAAATAAAATGTTTCAAAAAATTGGACCACCAAAAGCAATTAAATTAAAATATTATCATAAAATAAAATTGGACCACCAAAAGCAATTAAATTAAAATATTATCATAAAATAAAATTATATAGTTTTTATATACAATAATTCTATACTCTTCATTTTAACACCTAAGATCATCCAATACTGTAAGAACATGTACATGGTTTAATTTTGCTGCCTTGTCTTAGCATTGTTATTAAGACCCTTCTCAAACTTATTTTTATAGAAATCTAGCAAATGATCAACACAAAATCTAGCAAATGATCAACATGAAATCCAGCAAATCCCAGTCTTTTCATCTTTGATCATAAGATTAGTAAATTCGTCCATACAATCTACCTCTGACATATTTCTTCTGGTACAAAATGCTAAAATGGCACCACCATAAATTAACAACAGTGATGAAATCATACAAATGAAAATAATTCAAAACTAAAGTAATTGTTTAATAACATAATCACAGAGTTAAAAATTCTTCCAAATCCAAACTGTAATTTTTAATGGTACCTACTTGCAGTGCTCGACTAAATGACCTCACAGAATCTCTTGTGACCATAAAAGAAGTGAGAAAAAAAAAAAGGCTTTTATAGAGATAATGAGATAAAGATGAGTAGATTATGAGAAATAAATTTGAAGATAAAGCTTTACAATTTAAATTTAAATAATTTAATATAGATACAGTAAAATCTATATAGATAACGTTTGTAATAGAATTTTAATTTAAAAAAGTTATTTATGCAAACAAAAAAAAAAAAGAAAGAAAAAGCTCCAAATTCTAAAAAAAAAAGATTGCTGAAAAAAAGAAAAAGCTCAAAAATTTATAAAAAAAGAAAAATAGATTGCTGAGAAAGCAAAGCGCCAATTCAACATTTTTAAACTATTTTTTGCTTCAGAATTATATATATAGATATATAAATAGATACAATATAAGATATATATTAAATATGGTAAGAATATAATATCTTTAAGGACTTTAATGTATATAGATAATCTAAATATGGTATAGAATTTAAGAATTTAATTTGATTTCTTGATAACACTTGATTGAAACGAGTAATTAAATAATGAAAGGTCGGTAAAAATAACTACGGTTAAACAATAAAAGTTTGTCCTAATTCTATTCTTTTATTAAATTTTTTTCATTATCTTTTAATTTATTATAGCATAATAAAGGAAATTATTTTAAATAATTTATAATTTGATTGGTTATGATTCAAGCTTAAAATTTATATTAGAATTAGTAAAACCTACCCCTCCTCCCATTTTATTTTCTTACGATTCCTTTTTTAATGTCCCATAATATTTACAAGACTTCTAAATTTATATACTTAAATAATTATTTTTCTCGTAATAATCTTTATGATTGTCTATTAAATGAATGACTTTTACTAATATCTAATGAGTTCAGAATAAAAAATGGCAAAATGATTTTTGTTGATTGCATCCTAATATGCGTGTTTTGTCAAATTATGCAAACAAAATTAGATGAAGGTAGCATTTCACAAGTATAGGGAATCGGAAGGGGAACACTGGGACTATTAAAAAAAAGTAAGTTTAAATTTGATAATTACAATAAATTTGATAATTACAAAATTACAATTTTCCCCTCTAATTTATGGTATATTCAACAAAATTGGTTATTTTAGTAGTTGTGAGTTGTTTTAGTATTGTTTAGCTGTATGAGTATATTTGCATAAAATAATAAAAGCTAAATATTACAAGGGTTAATATTATATAAAATGCTAATTTAATTTCTAAAAGTTAGTTCAAACGTTATGTTATTAAACACTATAAATAATAGTACTATCAAATACAACTTTACTTCGCTAAAAAATAAAATGTAAAATTATTATTTTTAATAAATTTTTAATTTAATTGGATATATTATTTCCTTTTTAATCCAAATTATATTGCCAAAGTTATAATTGTAAATTATAAACTTTAATTAAAGTAAGTTTCTTACAACATAAGTAATTTCTTAAATCTCACATATATATTAAGATAATATGTTATAATCAACTTATATTGTAATTATATTAATGTATTGAGTAGATTTGGTTTTAATCAACTTCCATATAGAAAGATAACTTATTATTTTTAATACATTACTTTGGTAATACTTTTTATTCTATTTTTATTTATTAATCTATTAATAGGGTTATACTTTTTTTTATATATATATATATGTGAGATTTAAGAAAGCAATGTATTATCTAAAATATCTAAGTATCTATATTTATATTTATATTTTGAGATGTTTACTGTTGCTTTAAATATTTCTTTATTTCTTTACATAATAAATAATAAATTATAATGTTGGACATGATTATGTTTCTATTGATACTTTTGAAGTTTTGCAAAAAGGATGAAGTATTAGAGTGGTAGTCCTTAAGGTTAACTTCTTTGACCAATACAAAAGGAACAAGAATGTATTTTTAAGGAAAAGAATATTAGAAGATTCTAAGGCAAATATTATATTTTATTATCTATTTATTTTTATTATTTTCCTAATTATTGCATTTAAAATTTTCTTATAGAGAATTAGAATTCAAGCTGTTATGTTTAATGATGTTCTGGAAATTTTTAAATATTTTTTTTTTAGTTAGGAAAAACCTATTAGTAATTAGGATAAGAAATGCAATCACAGTTCCTTATTCTTTTATTCAGTAAAATATAAATTATACAATAGGTAATAGGTTTTGAAATAAAGTGTGTAATAGGAATTCTTAACCCTCCCTTCTTAATTCCTATTATGGATAGTTAAAGTACCATAAATGCTCTTAAGTGATTTGGATGTTGTTTATTGGATGAATTTTTATAAAATATCAAATATACCCTTAAATTGAAGGTTGTTTTTTGGAATTTTTAAAATAAAATATCATATATACCTTTGAATTAAATTAATAAATTTCTATATCTATTTTGTTAAAATATTTTAGTCACATAAATATTACATTTTTTTGAAAATTTATTAAAAGATAAAAATTATAAATCTAAAAAATAATTTTCATTTTCACTATTTGCAAATATTAAAACTAAACATATGCCTATCTTCAATAAATGTCTAATTTAATAAAATAATTAATTGAATAAATTAATTTATAGTAAATTGATTGATATGGATATTGTAGTATTTCTACTAATTCATATAATCGTATTTCATTCCTTCCATTTTTTCTATTAACCAAACACATAAATTAATATAATCTCAATTCCTATTCCTTGATGCACAATAAACATAGTAATATAAATTATATTTTCTGTTCGATTTCTTTTTTCTAATTATGTGGATTTTTATTAATATATCAAAAAATTGTATTATATTACAATTATAATCATTAAAAAAATGAGTGATTAGAATGAGTTAACACATGTAATGCATCATCTTAAAATACCGCTTAATGGTAAAAGGAGGCTAGCTATTTTTTTTTTAATTTACAATATAAATTAATTATTATTGTTTTTTCGCTTTGCCCCTCAAAATTGTAAAAAAAATTTTTAGCCCTTTAACATATACTTGATTTTAATGTTAATTATACATGTAAAAATGAATATAATACAATTTAATAAATACTAAAGGTCTCCTGAAAATTAGTTTTAATGCCTTAAAAATTAGGTTAAAAATTAATAAATTACATAGTAATTTTAATTTGGATGGATTGTTTTTAACTAAATATATAAATTTACTTATGAATTTTGCATCTTTAATCTTAGAACAGCTTGAACTTTGTAAATGATCTACTGTGTACTTGAATTTCCAAATTTCAATAATATTGCACATATTTTCACACTAATAATAATAGTTTTTAGAAATTTTCATTTTTATATATAAAATATTGATTTAACGTATTATTAGTATAACTTTTTTGCAATAATAATTTTACATTTTTTTAATAAATAATTTTTATATTTTTAAATTAATTTAATAGATATTTAATTAATTTAATTTCTTAAATTTAAGCGTTTAATAAAATAATTACGCTACCTTCAAAAATAAAAAAAATTATGCAATATGTGTAATTTATGGAATCGTTTCCAAGATAGTGCTGAATTTATGGAAAAGTGGTCACAACCGAGCACTTACCGTATACAATACAATAGTATTATCAGTAACTGTTAAAAACGCCATCCTGGACCTGAAGCAAATTGCCAAATTAGAATTCAATACCAGTCCAAATAATCAATGGCTCTTCCATAATTCCGTTCTTCAGCTCTTCAAGCGTCAGTGTCTCTGTCCTCATACAATCCGTCTTCCTCCTTAATCATTAATTTGCAAGGCCACCACCGCGTCTCCGGCACCGGTATACTCTGGCTTCTTCAACATTATCCCTGGCTCAAAATGGAGTTCCTAGCCTGCTTCACGTAGTGTTGAGGCTTCTTTAACTATCATCTCAACTGCTTTACGACTGTGTGAGACACAAGGTCGATTAAACGACGTCGCTACATCCAGCTGGCCGCTGCATGCTATCTCCGCTGCTCCAGTGCGCAGGTGCGAAGCCTCTCTTGTGTTTTCCCCTGTATGATTGAAACTGTATTGTGTGTTATTGATTGTTGCGGTGGTTGGTAATGTAATTCAGTGCTTAAAAGTAAAATTTGTAGTTGTTTTTAATTTTAAATTGTTTGATAATGCGTTTCTTTATATAGTATTAGTTTCAATTTAGTCAAAATTCTCTTGAAACTATGAATCAAACTTTTATTTGTGCTGAAATAAGGTTTACTAAACAATTAAGAACTACAAAGCATTGGAAATTTTAAATTTAAGCGTTGAATGATGGCATTAAAGGCCTTAAAACTTGCACTTATTTATTAGCTTTTAAATAATTTTGTAATTTAGAAACTAATGTATTTATATTATCGAGGACTTTGAATTTTGCTCATAAATTTATTGCACTTAGTTTTCAGCTTAACCACAAACCAAATCCTTAGATTGTTGGTGGTTTGCTTCGGTTCTTTGCTCATTAACTGTGATTGCGATATTAACACATACTAGGGAGCCTAGCTAAAGGGAGTTCGGAAAAATTGATTTTTATGGCAGATTTAACATGTTGCTGGATATTTTTATTTCTCTCTCTATCTCTCCATTAAATAAGAACAAGATGGTGCATCTCTAAATTTTAGTTTCTGCGTTATTCTTTTCTTTTGCTTTGTTTTGTTGGTCTTGAACCAGTTCAATTGTAAATCAGCCAGGCTTATAGCAGTCCTTTTCTCTTGCAGGGTATGTGATAGATTCTGAATTTTTTGAAACATAGAGATTTGTATTCCGGTTCTAGCGGAAAAAAAGGCCGAGGCTGAGATTCATTAAATATCACAGTGAGACGGTTTAGCTGTTATATTCGTTATTTTCAAAACATGGGCGAGAATGAGCAGTTTTGGGTGGAAGAACACACAGGACATCAAAATTTTTCCATAGGTATGAAACGAAAGGCTAGAACAAAGAAACTGGAATTTATTGGGTGGGGATCTAGACCACTCATTGAGTTTCTTGAATCAACTGGTATAGATGCTAGCAAACAAATCTCCCAATATGATGTTGCTGGCATTATAAATAAATATGTTAATGATCACAACCTTAATCATCCAGCAAAAAAGAAGAGGATTGTTTGTGATGAACGGCTCCTTTCTCTATTTGGAAGGAAGACCATTGCCAGGATAAAAATATATGACATGCTGGGGACTCATTTTGCTGAAAATCAAGTGGAATCAGATGATGAATTGCTTTTTAGTTCAGAAGAAGAGGACGGTGCCAAAGAGCAACAGAAGCATCTGACTTCAGACAAAAGAACACCTAGTAAGAAGAAAGTTTCGGAAGCTCCAAAGAGCTGTTTTGCTGCCATAATTCCTGCTAATATTAAACTTGTCTACTTAAAAAGGAGTTTAGTTCTGGACCTTCTCAAGGAGCCAGAAACTTTTGAAGGCAAAATAGTAGGGAGCTTTGTACGAATCAAATCTGACCCGAATGACTACCTACAGAAAAACTCTCACATGCTTGTGCAAGTTACAGGTAATTAAAAATTACTTACTTCCCATTTGATTGTTATTTATATAAAAAAAATGAACCTCTTCTCTGCCCAAGCTTATGAACTAATCTGTAAATAATATATATATATATATATATATTATTTTTCTCATCTAAGTCCAGTTCATTGGGTATTGACTGAAAAAAGAACAAAGAGAAAAGATTGGAAGAAATTTCCTATCATTTGTATTCCTTTTACTTTTGAAATATGAAAACGAGAATCGTTTGCGTCACACTATTGAAATGCAAATGGTTTTAATTTTACTTGTCAGTTAGAGTCAGCTTGCTATGCAACTATAGTTATGTGATTGCAATGCATTTCTTTTGAAAGAATTACATTAAAGATATAGAAATGCGAAGCTTCTCCTATTGAATTGCGGGTTATGATGGGGAATTGCAGTGCAATCAACAGACTTTAAGACAGAGAACCACTAGCTCTCTTTCTCTGTTCTCTTTGGACTTTCTTCCTTCAGAAGTTTCTGAAGTTCTTCTCTTCCAGATTGTTTCTTGAAATATTTTGCTGTTTCTATATTTTTGTAACTCCGGTTGTAGAAGGTTTGGTTGAGGTGAATACCTGAATATAACCTTAGGCCTTTCTGTCACCTGTGTGAATAGAGTCAGTGAGTTAACGGTTGACCTGTGGGTCCATTTAAGATTTCTAGTCTTTTGCAATGAGGGACAGTGAGTTTCTTCGAAGTATGTGAAGAATCAAACTATTTTTTGAGAGTACCTTCTATGAATGTTTACAAGTCAATTCACTGTTATTTATGGCCTTTAATCTGCTACATGCACCTAAATACCTAATTTTACTCAACATACCAATGCTTTGTTTCAGAGGTGTTTGAGTTCTTGTCTTATATGAAGATTCTTTAGCAGGTTCCAGGGAAATTCTAATTCTATTTAGCCAAATGGGCATTAGAATTGTTATAATTCCTAAGATGTACAATGTTAAGGGAAACAGTTTTGCTTTTTTAGTGGGTCTGTAGTATCAGGATGGTTGAGATATAATTTAGATGTTTTGTGTTGAAATGATGAAGAATGAGATTGAGAACATTCTGTAGTTTATGGTTACTGGTGGTTGCTAAGGCTGTCATGCATAGTATTCAAAAGAATCCTAGGTGCCGAGATACGTACCTTTCAGGTTGTTTTTTTTATTTCCTTTTGTCTTTTACTTTTATCAGCTGGTTTTACCTTTATCGTTAATTAAATGTTACTACTGTCTACTAGATTTGACTTTAACAGTGCGCATGTGGTATTTTATGTCAATAAATAAATAAAATTACATAGGACCAAGTATGAACTGTGAAGCGGTGAATGTCATAAAATGATCTGGTGGTTTAATCCCAATTTTGAAGCCCTCTCTGTCCAACTTATTTAGAGCGGCTAAATGCAAGTGCTTATAGGACAAGGAGGTTCTAATTTGGAGGACATGGATAAAGAGGAAGAAGGCATTGGGGTCTAAACTCTTAGGAAGAGGAAGAAGAAGAAGAAGAAGAAGAACAGGATATCGTTGGCTTGATTATGATGATACTATTAGTTTCTCAAAGAGCTTGGTAGAATTTGGGGTTTGCTGTTATGAGCTTTTGTATCTGTGTTAAATAGGCATCAGTGGCGGTTGGAATTCCCTTTATGTGCACAACATAACTTGAGGGAAGAATTTTATTTTGCTATGATTTTTTATTGATTTTTCTACATTTCCAATGCGCACATCACTTATGTTGAACCAACTTCAGTAGGTAACGGACTTTGTGTCGTTGATTTTTCTCATGCAATTATTCCTTGGAGTCTTACTTTTTACTAATGACATTTATCTTTCACTGTAAAAGGGGGTTGACCCTTTTTGCTGGCATGTGTCCTTAATCCATTATTCCATTTAATGTCATTTTACTAATCCTGTTGATATCTGTAACTCATTGATGTTTATGTCATTTTCTGAATGTAACAATATATTGTGAGGCAATTCCTTGGAACTTTTGTAGATAGTTTAAAAATAAGCCCCATCTTGTTTCCTCTTCTCTAGGTTTAAAGAGGGCCTCTAGGTCCGATGAAAAGTCTGCAGATGTTGTTCTTCAAGTTTCAAATTTTGTAAAAGATGTCTGTATATCCATGCTCTCAGATGATAACTTTCATGAGGTAATTGGCAGAACATTGCTTTTACTTGTTTGTTATGAATGAAAATGTGCAATCCTCCACATTACTGATGCTGAACAATTAGCGTTTATTTCAAAATTATAAGTACTGAAATTATTTAGTTTTCAATTAAGAATTTCATGCCTTTTCATATTAATTGATGCAGGATTGGCTGCTTAGTGAAAACCAATAGATATTAGTCATAAAAGGCTTTCTTGACATTGAAAAACTCATTTTATAATTGGCTATTGTCCAATAACTTTCAGAAAATAGGAGAAGCCATAACCATTTTTGTTATATGTGAGTTACCTTTGACAAGATTGCTCTCCCTACAAACCCTCCCCTTATTCTTTCCTCAATTCCCAATAGCACCGAATACCAACTTTTGCAATGAGAACTTGGGAGGAAAAAACATTCTCATTGGACTAAATTTGACAATATTATTGGCCATAGTCTTAGAAAAAATGGGTAAAGTGTTTGCTGAGAACCTAAAGATATACTATGAAGAGATAATTAGTTAAGTTCCTTGAACTTCTCCATTCTGGTTAACGTTTTCTTTTTGGGAAAAAAAGGTTAACAAATGAATAAAGAAAATTGACTGATCATAATCAAATCTGAGAAAATGGTGGGACTTGAAAGAAATGTTTTCCATTATGTTCTGAATGAAGTTGTTGCTATGGAGTCTTGGAGATGTTCCTGCATTTTGGCATGCATGCTTAAAATGGCTACTGAAATGACCTGAATCCACTATGATTGCAAGCTCTAGACTTGTGCATGAATCATTGATGTAAAAATCTAAACATTAAGCTTTTAGACACTAAACACTTTTTGCATGAATAGCAATGTAACCAGAGGTTAGCTTTTCCCCGTGCTCCCCATCATATTACCTGATTATCTCTACATTCTGCATTAGCATGATCTCATGTTCCAATTTTATTCTAAGGCCTTTCTAGGATCTTTTATTTTATACCCAGGAAACAGTAAATTTGAGAAATAGGCATATTTAAATAAATATGAGTTTGGGATCATAACAGCTGCTGCATATGTCAAAGCAAAAAGTTCTGCATTTTGGTTGACTGGTTGCAGCCTGCATTGTAGATTACCATTTATTCTAGTACAAATTTGCATAATTGTGCATGTAGCTCATGGGCTTCCTCAGCTTTGTTCTATGTGTTGCAGGAAGAATGCGAGGATTTGCATCAGAGAATAAGAGATGGGCTGCTCAGACAGCCAACTATTGTAAGTTTCCCATTGTGTTGCCTAATTATTTTTCATACTTTACACCCTGCAGCCTAAGTTGAGGTCATATCCATGTGCACGATGAATTTTCTTCTGCAGTTTTTATCATTCCCTGTATTTCTCGTATGGTAAAAATTTCATGCTGGGGAGGAGAAATTACATTATGTTATTTTTTATGCACAAAGAAAAAATTGGAGCATTTTTTTTTTTTTTTTTTTTTTTTTTTGGCTCTTTCATGATTATGTTCCTCCTTGTAAAGTTCACTGGAAATGTGTTCCCTAGATCCACGTCTTATGTTCGTTTTTAGTGCCTGATGCCTAATAACGGGGCGTGGCTCACTTGGCTAGGGATTGTGCTCACCATTAAGGGAGGTGATGCAGTCAAGGGAAAAGTTAGTGAGTCATGATGATTTAATTCTAAATCTAGATAATTCAGTTTTTCTTATAAATTTTTATCAGTTCAAAATTGCTTCATAATCAGGATCTTCCTATCCTATGTAGGAATCTTATTGTATTATTATTTGGGAATATCTTATGTTGGTTAGAGAATTATGTTAGTTAGAGCAGATATTGGAAACAAAGGATTCATATAGTTGACTCCAATTAGTTTGGGACTAAGGTTTAGTGGTTGTTGTTAGAGAATTATTTTTGGGAAAATATTTTGTAGATTCTCACCCTAAGATCATGATCCCTTGGTGGGTGTTAATCTTTGTATTAGGGACTATTTTAGATAATTCTTCTTTTTTTTTTTTCACTTTTGATGATCAAAGAAAGTTCACTAATAAATAAGAATAGAAGATTACTACATGGAGGACGAGGTAACCTGCTAAACGTCAGCAGCAAAATTAGATTAAATACAAAACCAAAAAATTTGATAAACAGTGCCTTGCAATCAAGCTGAAAAACTCGTAAGAACAGTTCAAGGAGAGTCCTTGTTGGTAGGGCTGTTCGTGGGTCGGTTTGGTTCGGTTTGAATATAATAATCAAACCAAACTTAAAGTGGCAATTTGAAAAAAAAATTAAAATCAAACCAAATCATCAAAAAATTCAAACCAAACCAAACCTTTAACAGTGGTTTAGTTTGGTTCGGTTTGGTGGTTTAGGCGGTTTGAAATAAGAGATATTAAACTTCCTCATTCATCTTGTTAACAAGTAAAAAAGATTAACTTTATACTAAATATGAAAAATGAATTAATAAAACTATACCATAAAATACACATGATTTTGAATAGCTATTAAAAGTTTTTAAATTAATTTTTTTATATGTATATTCTTAGTTTGTACATATATATTAGTCTAATTTTACATGAATTTTTAACATTTGAACATTTTATAAAATAATTATATAATTCATCTAATTATTAAGAAATTGTTGTTTAATTATTATCCAATATAAACTAATCTCATAATTTACTATCCAATATAAATTAATCAATACAAAGGAAATTTCCATTCAAAAAAATTGAATTCAATTTAAAAGTTCAAACATATATAGATATAACGGTTTAGTTCGGTGTGGATGGTTTTAACTCTAAACCATAAAACCAAACCAAAAGCTCGATTTTTAAATTTTACAAAATCAAACCAAACCATCAATCTTTTAAATCCGAGGTTTTGGATTGGTTTGGGCGGTTTAGGCGGCTTGATGAACACCCCTACTTGTTGGATATGCTCATGAAGAAGCAAAGAAAAGCACTTGTTCTTACAATAGATAAGAAGGCGAAAAAAAGTGGTCTTGAAAATTAAGCATTCCTTTCAATTCACAGCACAGTACAGAATCTGCAATTTTACAGGGTTTTAGCATCCTTTTTTTTTTTTCACCAGATTCTCTCCATTTTAACCCTACAAAAATAATATCTGGATTTGGTCTTTTTGTGGAAAGTTACGGTCATTAAAAACTCAACTCTGCATTTGGGTGATGTTGAGTTGGTGAATGAATCGTGTCAATTTGACTTTTCTACTCATGATTGAATTTCTTGTATATTAAAAAGGCATCACTTTTGGCATCATTTTCTAACTTTAATTGTCTCTGTTTGCATTCAATGTTGGAGCTTTTGTTTTCCTTTTTATGGTTAAATGTTTGTTGATGTGATTTTTTAACCTTAATAGGTGGAGCTGGAAGAGAAGGTGCAAGTCTTGCATCAAGATGTGACAAATCATGTAGGTACTTTGTTTAAATCTTTATTGTTCATGTTTGACATGCCATGAACCCAAATTAAAAAGTTCATCTCTTCTGGATGTACTTTGTGATTCAATGTTTTAAGCATAAATGCTCTTGTGAAAAAGGATGTCGATACTGTGGGTCTACAAATCAAAGTTCAGGAAATGATAAACTAGACTTGTATGAAAAGGATTCTTCTTGTTGCAACAGATAACTTAATGTATCATAGTCATAAAACTTGAAACACTTAGGTATCATTGAATAAAGCTTGCAACTTATCGTCGATCAACATAAAGAATGTCTCATAGAAATGCAAATATATAGATGCTTTTTTGAACATTTAGGGCAAATTTGTACATATTTTTGAACTAGCAATTTATGCAGATTAGTCAATTTATTTTGGCTCATAGTAAGAAATCTGAAGAACTTGACCTACAAGAGACCCAAGGCTTGGGTAATCTATGAATTAAATTTTGGTAGATGGACAACTTAACATTGATAATCTGTAAGTTTATGATGGCTGGTGCTCGAGTGATGAGTGAGTTGCTCAGGAGACATGTAGCTAACCAGAAGAAAATAGTGACCCAGTTTAGTTATGTAGACCAATCTGCTGCCCTGGGATGTGGGCAATTCTTGAATAATCATCATAATATAAGATAGCTTGTAGGTTTAGCTATTTAGGACTGGTTTATAATTCATTTATAAGCTACGGTAAATAGAAATTCAAGCAGAGAATTTAAGTTACTGATTGTAACTTGGTTGAAGTGGATAGCAGAAGAAAAGACAAGTTTCTGTGGTTGTTTGATAGGAAGTTGTAATACTGTGAATACTACTCATTGACAGTTTTGGGGAAATGCGGATAGGCTGAAACTATTTGATTAGTGAAGACTTTCTGACCTGAATGTTACTGGAACTGTAAAATATGCCTGCGAACTTGAAGAAAAGTGATAAGATTCTAAGCTTCACACTTAGAATTATTAGGCACCACATACCGTATTGAACTGCAGCACACAATCCAAAGTAGCAGCAAAAGTTTCAATGACAAATTATTATTAATTTTTATCACGAAAACACAAGCTCAGATATTTATATATATATTCTGTTTGTTTCACAGAATTTATTTTCCTGAAAACATTTTCTGTACTTTTTGGTGTTTGGGGCACCTAGGAAAATAATTCGATGGAAAATATTTTTCCGGTTAAAGGAAAACTAAGTCATTTTTCAAGAAACATGACTTCCCTTCTTCAAAATAGGAAGTTATTTTCCAAACCTTTGCAAACTCATTATAATGAAAGAAAAACATATAAATAGATGCTATTAATCCACCAATGCCCACCACCAACCACCACTGTTCGTCGACAGCCACTGGAGGCCACCTCTATCATCAGCAACCACCACAATTTACTATTTTTATGTTTTTTTCCTCATATTTAACAATAAATTAATAAAATATTAAATTTTTATAAATATAAATATTTTTATAATCTATAAATTAAAAATGTTAATGTCTTCCGACAGATTTTCAATGTTGAAACCAAACAACAGAAAATAAGTTCTTTGGGAAATATTTTACAGAGATAGGTTATTTTCTATGCAACAAATTGCCTAAGATAATGCTGGACCTTTTAAGACATTTGACTCTTAGAACTGGCCCTTGTTCTGTAGGGATTTAGGATCCCATACAAAATATGAAGGGTGATTTTTTTCTTAATCTATGAGTACTATGAAAATAAGGCTCATAGTGTTAAGGACTAGTTGTAAATAGAGTTCTGTTAGGAGTTAGATTCCGTGTTAAGGACTAGTTGTAAATAGAGTTCTGTTAGGAGTTAGATTCCTAATAGGTTTATAGTATCCTGTATATGTATATATATGTGACCCTATTCATGAAAAATATACAACAATAGTTTTCCACAATATTCTACATGGTATCAGAGCCCCCTGGGCTCGTTATTATTATTATTTTTTTTTCTTCCTTCTCTGCTCTTTTTTGCGTTGAAACTACAGGCAGAGGGTATTTTTTGGTGACTGCCAGTCTAGGTCACCCACATAGGCTAGTCTTTCTGTCTCACCGCCACCCAAGGAAGAAGGACAGGCCGCCGATCGGCTCTCCCTCCAAATCTGGTCACTGGAATCCGCGCGAGTGGGCTTCACGCGCCACTCCAAGTTTCTGCCCTTCTTCACGTGCCAGCGCGTGGGGGAGCGTCCGGCCATCTCCGGTCACCGGCTCTCAGTTTTCGGCGTCGATTCTGCCAGTACAGTGCAACCCAGTGTGTTGCGTCGACTCTCTTTGACTTTTGTGGTGTTTTTTGTGCTGCACCTTTGCTGTCGCCTTGCCGGGTACATTCTGAATTTGTGAATTTATATTGTGCTGCTGCCTCTTTGCTATTCTGCTATATTGTGCTGCTGCCTCTTTGCTATTCTGCTATCAAGTTACCAAGAATCGTAGTTTTCCTTTGCCGTGCTACATTTGTTTTTGAGCGTTTCATCACAAATCATGACGAGTACTCCACCGGGGACTTCCGAATCGAAACCTGTTATTACTGATGTGGTGCCATTACTGAATAAAATAACAGAACACAAACTTACTGGCTCTAATTTTCTGGCATGGAGTAAAACAGTTTGTATATATTTTTGTAGTTTGGATAAGGATGACCACTTGACCAATGATCCACCTGAAGGAGCTGCTAGGCAAATTTGGCTTAGAGAGGATGCTCGATTATTTTACAACTTCGGAATTCGATTGACAGTGAAGTAATTGGTTTAATTAATCATTGTGAGTTTGTTAAGGAACTGATGGATTATCCTGAATTTTTGTACTCGGGAAAAGGTAATCTATCCCGTATGTATGAGGGAAAAGGTAATCTATCCCGTATGTATGAGGTTTGCAAAGGATTTTATCGGGCTGACCAGCAAGATAAGCCCCTCACAGCTTATTTCATGGAATTTAAGAAGATTTACGAGGAACTTAATGTTCTATTGTCATTTAGCCTTGATATTACGGTTCAACAGACTCAGCGAGAACAAATGGCTGTAATGAGTTTTCTTGCAGGTTTTGCTCCGACTTTTGAAACTGCCAAATCACAGGTTCTTTCAGGTAGTGACGTTACCTCTCTTCAGGAGACTTTTAGACCTTTTTACTAGATTACTAACATACGTGAAGGTTCTTATACCCCTTCCTTATGATAATAGTACCTTAGTTGTGAGTCGTAATCAAATAGTTAGGACAGCCAGGAAAGACAGCCAGGAAACAGAGGAAGAGGAGGACATAACCGTAGTAATGGACCAATTAATCAGGAGGCAAGCATTCTTATCTGCCGTTATTGCCATGAACCTAGTCACACTAAACGGTATTGTAAGAAACTGCTAAATAAGCCCCTAAGGGCAAATATGGCCACTCAAGATTCTGCTGTTACTTCTTCTGAGAACACTGTAACAATTTCTGCTGCGGAGTATGCTGAGCTCTCTGGATACCGTTCTTCTAAGTCTACTGATTCCTCAATTGCTGCTGCTGCCAATTCAGGTACTTCTACTACATGTCTTATGTCTACCTCATCAGAGTGGGTCTGGTCATTGATGTCTGGTTGCACAGATCATATGACAGGTAAGCCTAGTCTCTTATCCTTAGTTAAAGAACCGAACAATTTAATGTCATGTTTACTCCTACTGATGGGTCCACATCTTTTGTCAAGTGTATTTGGCAACCGGCTAGGTGTCCGGTGGGCCAATCGCATTCCCATCTCTTCCGTTGTCTTCTGTTTTTTCTGGGTTTGCCTCGTTTTTCATTCAATCTATTAATCTGTTACAAAATTACTCGTTCTAACTGAATTGTTTGTGTTAAATTTTATTCCTATCATTATTGTGTGTTTCAGGAATCTTTTGACGAAGCGGATTAATGGTAGAGGAGCGTGAGTCTGGTGGCCCCTTTATCTTTTGGATTAACAAGTTTCGTCATCTTGGCTTGTGTTGTTATGCTTCTCTCCCTTCTTGAGGTTATTGTCGTTTGAGGTCATCCTTCATTGACATACTTTAAAAGAAGTTGTGTCCGCAGTTTCCAGTCCTTTATGATTTTAGAATGTGAATCTGTCAAATTTGCCAAACATCATCGTTTACCTTAGTTCCTCGAGTCAATAAACGGGCTTCATCCCCTTTTGAATTTAGTTCATTTCTTGATGTTTGGGGTCCATGTCCTGTTAATTTTCTAAAAACAGGCTTTTCGATTATTTCGTAATCTTTTGTGGATGAGATTATTCCGTGTTACTTGGATTATTTTTAATGAAAAATTCGTTCTGAGATAGTTTCTCTATTTTCTATTCCTATGTGCGGTTAAAAAATCAATTTAATACCTCTGTTTCGCGACATTGCAAAGTGACAGATGCTAAAAGAATATCTATCTTACGTTCCTTCGCAATCTATATTGTCATAGAATGATATTCTTCATCCATCTTGTGTTGATACTCCTTCTCGGTTGCAGAAAGAAAAAATCGACATCTTCTTGAGGTTGCTAGGGCACTCCTATTTCAAATGAAGGTCCCTAAACATTTTTGGGCGGATGCTGTCTCTAGTGCATGTTTTTTTATTAATTGCATGCCTTCTTCTGTGCTTAATGGTGCTATTCCTTATAGTGTCTTGTTTCCCTTCTAAACTTTTATTCCCTATTGAACCTCGTATTTTTGGTTGTACTTGTTTTATTCGTGATGTTCGTCCATAGGTTTCCAAATTAGATCCAATCCCTTCGTTGTATTTTCCTTGGGTATTTTCGGCATCAAAAGGGATATCGTTGTTTCTCTTCCGATCTTGACCGTTATTTTATTTTTGTCGATGTCACATTTTTTGAGAATACTCAATTTTTTCCTTCTCCTATATATAAGAGTGAGGGGGAGGATGATGAGCTTTTAGTCTACGCTATCCAACAATTTCCTAGCTCTCCTGCTCTTGTTCCTGTTCCTGAACTTACACCTGCTCCTACTACAGAGTCTGCTCCTCCTATTCCCCCTCCTGCACCAGCATCTGTCCACCCTCGTTCTGAACAGGTTTATTCTAGGAGACCAGAAACTCTTGACTCACTTCCTCTATCCACCGCTTCAACAGAAGATCCGGTTCCCTCCACTCAACCTGAGCCTGTGCCATCCACTGCTCCGTCAGACCTTGACCTTCCCATTGCTCTTCGAATAGTGCCATCCCTGCTCCCCGTCAGACCTTGACCTTCCCATTGCTCTTCGAAAAGGTACACACTGTACATATCCCATGTTATCGTGTTGTATATGTTAGTGACCTATCACCTTATCTGTCTATCCTCAGCTGCTCGTTGTTGTAAGTAACCACTAAGACTACTGTCTCTATCCGTAAAACTGTTGTCCAAGCTTTGTCCCATCCTGGTTGGTGTGCGCAAATGAAAGAGGAAATTGGGCTGTCCCGCCTTAGATACTAATGGTACTTGGGATCTTGTGCCTCTCCACCGGCAGGTAAGAAAGCTATTGGTTGTAAATGGGTTTTTCACTGGTTAAAATGAATCACTTGAATGGATCTGTTGCCCCGTCTAAGGCTTGAATTATTGCTAAGGGCTATTCTCAGATTTATGGCCTTGATTACTCTGATACTTTCTTTTCTCCTGTGGCCCAAAATGTCTTCTGTTCGTTTGTTTATTCTTTAGGGCAGCTACTTTGTAAGCTGGCCTTATACATCATGCTGGATTGTTAAGAGAAATGCCCTTTCTATCATGGGGGATCTTCAAGAGAGCGAAGTTTTATCATGGATGCAACCACTAAGGCTTTGGTTGCCAGTAGGGACGTTGGGTAAAAGTGTGTAAACTTCGAAACAATCTCTAAATCTCTTTATGGCCTAAAACAGAGTCCTCGAGCTTGGTTTGGTAGATTTTGCAATGTGGTTCACCAATTTGGCATGCAGAAGAGTACTTCTTGATCATTCTGTATTTTTCAGAAGTACTAACACTGGTTTGATTCTACTTGTGGTTTATGTTGATGACATTGTTATTACAGGGAGTGATTTTGTAGGAATTACATCACTCAAGTCATTCCTCTAGACTCAGTTCTAGACAAAAGACTTAGGATTGTTGAAGTATTTTTTGGGTATAGAAGCATCTAGGTGTAAGAGAGGCATCTTCTTATCTCAAAGGAAGTATGTCCTTGACTTACTAAAGGAAACTGGAAAGTTGGGTGCCAAGCCATGCAGTACTCCAATGACACTCTATTTGCAAACTTCGATTGGTTGCAGCCTATTTGTGATCTCGAGATGTTATAGAAGATTGGTGGGCAAACTGAATATTCTTACGGTAACACGTCCAGATATTGCTTACCTCTGTGAGCGTCTTAAGCCAGTTTAATGTCTTTCTTGCTACTGTTATTTCAATTGGGGAAGCTTGTAGGACATATTTTGTGCTACTTGAAAGATAATCCAGGTCCGTGGGTCTCCTTTACCAGTAATCATGGGCATTTTGGACATTGAGTGTTTTTTCGGGATGCGGATTGGGCATGTTCGAAGGTTGATAGAAGATCAACTTCAGGATATTGTGTCTTTGGTGGGTGGAAACTTGATACGTGGAGAGAGCAAGAAACAAAATGTAGTCTCATGAAATCGAGTGCTGATAGAATATGAGCTATGGCGGCAATCCTACTTGTGAGACAATTTGGGATTCGTCAATTGTTAGAGAAATTGGCTTCAAGTCGTCCTTGCCTTGCAAAAAGTTATGGTGTGATAATCAAGCTGCTCTTCATATTGCATCAAATCCAGTATTCCATGAACGAACAAAACATATCGAGATTGATTGTCATTTCATTATGAAAAGATACAACAGGGTGTTATCTCTACAGGGTATGTTAAAACAAGTGAACAGTTAGGAGATATCTTTACAAAAGCTCTAAATGAACCTTGGGTTAACTATCTTTGTAAAAAGTTGGACATGATTAACATCTATGCTCCAACTTGAGGGGGAGTGTTAAGGACTAGTTGTAAATAGAGTTCTGTTAGGAGTTAGATTCCTAATAGGTTGGCTGTTAGGAGTTAGATTCCTAATAGGTTTATAGTATCCTGTATATGTATATATATGTGACCCTATTGATGAAAAATATACAACAATAATTTTCCACAATCTTCTACACAAAGTAAAAGTAAGACTTCCTTTTCCAGAAAATAAGTTCTTTGGGAAATATTTTATAGAGAAAGGTTATTTTCGATGCAACAAATTGCCTGAGATAGTCCTGAACTTTTTCAGACATTTGACACTTAGAACTGGCCATTGTTCTGTAGGGATTTAGGATCCCATACAAAATGTAAAGGATGAATTTAATCAATGAGTACTATGAAAATAAGGTTCAAAGTAAAAGCAAGACTTCCTTTTCCAGAACAGCTGAAAATTACAAAATGTTCCTGATTTCTAAAAGTGAAATCCAGTGATTTTCCTGCTTAAATAACATGAGATCAAGACCCTTAATTGACTCCAAAACTTATGGTTTGTTTGGCATTGCTGTTGTAGCCACTATTGAGAAACACAATCTTGTAGACGGGATTGCATTCTGCAACGTATAAAAGGTTGTTTCTTTAAACAATAATTTCAACCCTAAATGGTTGATAAACAAAGTTCGTGCTTGCTAAGCCTCTCATCATTGAACATGTGCTAAGTAAGTTCTGGCATGGGCACTGGGACTATGGCCCACTGTTTCGAAGCATGCTGATAATGTTCTCCATATGGTTTGCATTTGAATGTTATCCAGTGTGACCATGGAGAAAATTAAATAGTCATTGACCATGGAAGAACAACATAATGATCAAGGGGATAGCTTATTGTCGATTGAGAATTAATACCGCTTGCTTCACTATATAAAGAATGGGAAAGTTTTTGGGTTTTAAAAAAGTGGAAGATATGTTCAAGTTGTAAGTTTTGAAGTAGTCCAGACTCTGATTTGGATTTTTTTTTTTTTTTTTTTTTTTTTTTTTTTTTTTTTTTTTTTTTTTTTTTTTTTTTTTTTTTTTTTTTTTTTTTTTTTTGGTAATATAGTTCCTCATGTAATAATGTATCCTAAATATTTGGATATAGTATGTTTCTTTTTAAGTCAAATTAATTGAAAGAAAATCTGTAATTGTGGATAAATAATTTAATATGCTATTTTTGTGTGGTTCCTTGATTTAGAAGAACAATCAAGAAAAAATAATATTTTCCTTATCACTAGATGACAAATCAAGGATGGAAGAGACATAATGGATTCTCAGTCTGATATATATTCCTGTTTCACGTAGGTGGATATAAAAAATGTGCATCCCTAATGTGCAATATTCTAGCATGCATTGTGACATTTTTTCTGAGTTTGAAATATCAGTTCTAGTCTCTGACCTGGGAGCTTGTTGTAATGCTTTAATGAAATCGTACTGATTGATAATTCAACTTTATTCATCTCTTTCTGATTCATGTTGTGAAAACGTTTCAGTGGCTTGTGAGGGAACTTGCACTGCTACAAAAGCTAATTGATCGAGCCAATGAAAAGGGATGGCGCAAAGAATATCCTTTTATGATTTCAATAAAATTTGTGCCATAGTCAAAAGCATTTCCTTATTTTGTTCTGTGTTGCTTAGTGCATTTTAATTTCATGGTAAGGTAGATGTTGCATTGGAATGTAGAAATAATGTATTGTCATCCTTCCTGCTAGGCTTTTCATCATTAGACATGTCCCAAGGATGCTTGGACTTGGATGTTAGATACAACTATTAGGATTAGAAAGAATTCATTTAACAATGACTTATTAAAGTAGTGCAATCTGAAATAAATGTGATAGAAGTGTTTGCTCTCTTAGTAAGAATCACTCTGCACTTTCATACCCAAAGCGTCTCTTTCATTTATCATGAATTCTCATGATTCTCCATCCTTTTACCAGCAAATGCCCAAATATTTTCAGTGGTCATGGCTGTTGTTTAACAGCACAGGTCAAAACTGGTGTTTGCTGGCTATATGAGGGTACCAGCACATTTCATCATTTATATTGAGCACTTTAGCATTGTGATATCTATGACAGTTTCTAGAGTTCATTTGAGTTTTCGGGGACTGCAGTAGGGTGGTAAAGTGTTCTTGCTGTTTCAATAGACCACTGGTCACAATTCACAATGTATGTGAATAGTTTGAGCACCAGTTGCATTGAAAAGGTATGATGTTGAGTTTGTTGAAATTAAGAAGGAATGCAGTTGTTTCATGTGTAGAAATTAAAGGAAAGAATATGTTTTATTTCTTTCAATTGTGTTATATTTTTCAACCTCTACTCCACTATATATATACAAAAAATTGTTCCAATTTCCAATATAGGAAGCAATCTAAATAGGAATAAACCTAAACTAGGAAACCCAATATAGGAAGCAATCTAAATAGGAATAAACCTAAACTAGGAAACACAATCTTTACACTAATTAGGAATAAACCTAAACTAGGAAACACAATATTTAATTTAATCACAAAGATTTTGAATGGATGGACTTATTTTGAATGACTGCCTTTTGAACTTAGCTTTTCAAGGAGTCTTAGTTATTTCTGGATCTGGAAGCAGATTTTATATAGGCAGAGAAAAGTAGGGGGAGGGAAGGTAGCAAGATAAAATTGTCATTCGATTCTTTGATTGTTGGTAAACAACTATTCTTGTAACTTGATAGATTTGATGGTGTGGCTGAAGATAAATTATTATGGGTTTAGGCTAATTAATTGCATATAATGTTCAAATACATAGTCTAAAAAATTTAGCCTTCTAAAGAGTACTTTGCTTTCAACTGTGAAATGTCTAAGAAATGTTAAGAAATAAATAATGACAAGTAAATAGCAATTGGTTTTCTGATTGAGAATTTTTAAGAATAATCCATTATCAGAAAAGATTAATGAATATTCTGGATAAAAGAAGAGGACTAATAAAGAAAGAAGAGAAATCGAATTGAAGGAAATGGTATCCTCCTTTCAAAGAAATCATAAAAGTGTTGGCAAAGAAACAAAACTTAACGATATTATCCTTGCTACTTTGAATGAGGTCAAATGGATATTTAATTTAAATTTATAGATGAATCTCATTTTTAGTAGAAATGATGTACTTAGAAACTGTAGATTTCTTGCATGCCTTAGAAATAATTTCAAGAAACAAAATACTTCAAAAATATCAAATCAAAGCCAAGCCTGTTTTCAGCTTGCATATATATCATTAACTTATTCAAAGCATTAATATTATGGCTTTTAGTAAACCCTTGTAGAACAGTGCATTGCTGTTATTCACTTGGTTGAAAAGGAAAAAGAAAATATTTTTGTGTCAATTTTGGTCATGACCTTTAAGTAACTCAATTTCCAAATTGCCTTGGGAGTCAATGTTAATTTAGCTGGTAACACATGCAATTTTTGTAGTTAATTTATGCTTTAATTGTTCTTCCCAGATCAGTAATCCAATAAGATTTTTCGACTATTGTAATAGAGTGCTATATAATTGTGTAAATATCATTTTTTGCAGGTGAGATTCAAGTGAATTTGCAAGTTTCCTTAAAATGCTCTGAGAACTAGAACATCTTGATCTTCTTCCCTTTTGAGATAAATTTATTAATCTCAAGTAACTTGTTCTGCTAGAAAAACATCTGACATCATCTTTTAATTTATTGTCACATTGTTTTAATAGCTGGTAATTCTGTCTAACATTCTCTTTGAAGTCCTTAACTTGCTTGAGCTTGTACGCTTTTTGAGTACTTGGATAGAAGGCAGCTGCTACAGACTCCAGATGAAAAGTCACGACTCCTGCGTGAAGTTCCAAAAGTTATTGCTGAAGAAATAGAGGCTGAGGTTACTCCAGAGGATATTCCAGATGATGCAGAAAATGGAAATCATGGTTCACCAGAATCAACCCTCAATGGAGGTTCGAAAATCATTGTTCGTGATGTAGCAGCCAAAGAACTCCCATCAGCTTGGATTTCTTTTAGTGTGGATTCAACAGGTACATCATAATCATATTCATTTATTTCTTCTGAGGCTGGCCCATGAGAGCTGAAATTTTTCTTTATTTCTGTCTCCGCATCTGCATGCTCACATTTGTATAATTGCGTTCAGTTTGCATTAACAGCTTAGTGGGAATGTTTCACTTAGTTGGGATGCCTTCATGGCTTCACAATTCACCCAATACCTATGCTATGGAAATATTTATGGAATGTGGCACTTGGAAACACGTCAAAAGCATTTAATAAATCTACTTTTAGATAATGCCAAGAAATATTGAAGGCTGTGACAATACTGGTGGGTTTTGATTCCATGCCAAATTATTCTCAACCAATTTACTTGTTGGTATATTAGCACACTTAATGATGAAGGGCGTGCGGCATGACAATGAATCAACAAACAGATGTTGTTGAACTCTAGTATCATCCATTTGTTGGGAAAGGCCCTGGGAAGGTAAGGGTAAACTTCCCATGGAAAGCTCTTTGGAAAACTTGTATTCCTACCAAACTTGCTTCTTCATAGACATAGACAACATAAGAAAAGAAGGTGTTGTCATTGTCGCTACGCATTATTTTTGCAAGAATAAACTAAGTGCAGCACCTTCTTAGTAAAGTGTATTTGGATGGACCTGATAATTTTGGATATTGGCCATTTGGACCTAGGAGTGTCTGGCCGGCTGAATAGTAGATTCAAGATGAATAGTTGGCTTGGTGGGTACACTCTTGTAAAAGTAGGACAAAGGCTGTTTGCTCTAAATCTCCTATCTTTTTCTTGGACTTGTGGAAGAAAGGAATAGAAGGGCCTTTTTGTGGGTAATGCTTTAAATTCTTGGCTTAATGGCTGCCCTGGTGAATATATATGTAAATGATTTCCCTCTTTATATATATGACTTGGCACTTTGAATGCAATATATATTCTTCTTAGCTTGAACTCCTAATGGTGACCAACTCACCACTTTCTATATGGTTTGGCACTTCCTTGGGCATTGTGATATTAGGAACTTAAATGAGTAATTTTTTATCTTCATAGTGTCATTTAGGAATTTTCTGTTTTATGTTTTTGTATGATGATGTAACCCCTATGGGCATATCTGGTTTTTGATTTAATTAGTATATTTGTTACATTAGGTTTCTATGTCTTCATACCATCTTACACTTTTTGCTCATTAAAATGAAAAGGGATAGAAGAATAGAAGTAAGCTCCTCCAGTGATTGGATGTTTCCCAATTAGTTTAGCTTTGGAGCATAACCCATCAAAAAAATATATTTTTTTTTCCTTTGATAACAAGGTGGGATTATCTTGTTGGATTTTCTTTCCTTTATTTTTTCCTCATCTCTTTTCAAAATTTTTGTCATTAATCTATTCCTTTGGGCTTTCCTCCACCCCTTGTAGTTCCTAAGATTTTACCAATTCTCTATTTATATAGTTGCTCAAATTGAGATCCCATAAAGGTATTGATCCTTCCGCTATTTTCCCTATAGGATCATTAAAAGGTCTCTTCAGTTTCCCATGTCTCTTACATGGGGTGTGATTAGTTGGCAAATTGTATTTGGTGACTAAATTATGGGATGTCAAAAAGAAGTATGGATAGAAATATTACCATCAATTTGGTGTATTTGAAGTATCCTAAGATTTTGTAACCTATGTTACATAGAAACGAAAATAAAGAAATATGGAACTGCGGAAATGATATGGGGAAACGACATTTAAAGTATATTTTACACGGCAAAAAAAATATTTTATATGGGAAACAGATATGGAGAAACGTTTCCGAAACGCGGAAATGCCTATAGTTAGGAATTTCTGTGCATTGTAGTTTGAAACTAGAAACAGGTTTGCTTAGTGGCATAATGTCATGGGCCTGAGAGACTGGGCAATGATGTTAGTCGTTCTTAGTTCCTCCATTAGAAATATTGATGCAAGAGCATCTAGGAAGTTCTTTTTTTATACAATTTCCTTCTTTATTTAGGATTCCTAATTAAATAAGAGAATGTTCATTAATTAGGAATATTTTCAATTTTTCTTCTTTATTTAGGATTAGTTAAAGAAGAATACTATTCAGTGTTAGAAGTATTAGCTAATTAGGATTATCTTTTAGTCTAGAATTAGGATTTGTCCTAACTAGTATACATAGGACAACAATTATCAGTTTATATTTTTTATCATTTTCTTCATTTAGAATTTTAGTTCTAAGGTTTCTTTAAGATCAATTATCTTTTTTTTGTTCCAATCATGATCAACTTTTTCTAGCCCTAATTGTTGAGAGTTAATTGCTTAAATTCTTCCCCAACATCAAGTGATATCAAAGCGTAAAATATCCTAAATTGTAGTATTTTTTTTTTTTCCTTTGTTCTAAATCATGGTTGGCAGAGGTAGAAGTCAAGGTAAAGGCAATCGCCCAAGAAATAAAATTGGTTGAGATATGGCGAATGATTTTTGACCCACAACTTTACTAGCCTTGTAGCGTTAGGAATTTGCGGAAGGTCTAATGGCGATTCCAGAAGGCATGAACAACTCAAGATTTAAGAGGATCTTGAGATTGATGATGAAATTGAGGGTGTGAACCCTTTACATGAAATTGGACATGCAAAACGAGGGGCAAGAGGTGGATTAAGAGAGCCATTGTTACACGCTCTTGATTTGAATGGAGGGGTGAAGTGTTGGAGAGAAAAGAAATTATGTCTCTATTTCTTGTGTATATTTACAATCTCTTTGATAGCTAATTTATATAAAAAAAAAAATCCTAGAATAGGAAACTAGCTAAATAGGAAAGTCTAAGATTCTAAGTCTATGATTCTACAATAATTACAAATATATTTCAAGATATTTCAACTCTCCCTCTTAAATTGGTGTATAGATATTACACGTGCTCAACTTGTAAACTGAAGGATCAGACAATTTACAATTCAAGCCCATCATAAGCTAGTTGTTCCTTTGAAGCTATATAGGAAACATTTAGGAAGCCTTCAACTATCTTCTCTTTAATAAACTGACGATTGATCTCTGTGTGTGGTTCGATCATGCTGAACTGAATTATTCACTATATTGATAGCTGCTTTACTATCACAAAATAAGGATACTTCTGTTGTTTCCAGTAACTTCAATTCTCCCATCAACTTATGCAACCATAAGAGTTCACAGATTCCTTGTCGCAGAGCTCTGTATTTAGCTTTTGCAATGGACCTTGCAACAACAGTCTACTTCATATTCCTCCATGTTACCAAGTATCCGCCAAAAAAAGCACAATAACTAGTGGTTGATCTTCTGTCATCAAGAGAATTAGCCCAATCTGCATCAGTATAACCTTTTATTTCCAAATATCCATGTGTGGAAAATAGCACCCCTCTTCATGAGATTGATTTCAAATATCTCAAAATCTTATTCACAGTTTCCAAGTGGGATTCTCGAGGTCATGCATGTATCAACTCATAAGACTAGTGGCACAAGCAATGTCTGGTCTAGTATGGGCAAAGTAAATTAATCTCCCAACCAACCTTTGATATCTACCTATGTCAACTGGGTTTCCCACTCTAGCTTTAAGTTTGTGATTAGTTTCAATAGGTGATTCTGCATGCTTACACCCTAATATGTTAGTTTCCTTCAGAAGATCAAGGATATACTTCCTTTGGGAGACAAAAATTCCTTTATTAGACATGACAACTTCTATCCCAAGGAAATATTTCAATTTTTCCCAAATCCTTAATCTCAAACTCCATGGCTAAAAGTTTCTTTAAGTGAGCCATTTCTTCTTTGTTGTCACTTGTCACCATTATATTATCAATATAAACAATAAGTAATGTGATATTACCTTTTTAATGTTCAATGAACAAGGTGTAATCAACATTGCTTTAAATGTATCCAAAAGAAATTATGGCTTTACTAAACCTTTCAAACCATGCTCTAGGTGACTGTTTCAGCCCATATAGTGACTTTTTTTAATATGCAAACTTTCCCTCTGGTGTTGTCATCATCAAACTTACGAGGGATCTACATATGTATTTCTTTCAAGTTGCCATGTAGAAAGGCATTTTCCGCATCAAATTGTTCTAAGTCCTAATCAAGGTTGGCTGCACAAGGCAACAATATCTTGATAGTGTTCATCTGTGCTACAGGCACAAATCTTTCTTGATAATCAACTCCATAGGTTTGATCGAATCTTTTAGCTACCAATTTGACTTTATACCTTTCAATTGAACCATCTGCCTTATGGTTAACTGTGAACACTCATTTACATCTAGCTTGTCTCTTTCTTGGTGGAAGAATTACCAGATCCCATATCTCATTCTTTTTGCAACTGTTCTCATCTCCTCCTCAATCATTGCGGCCTTCCATTTTGAATCACGTAATGCCTCTTACCAATCTTACTGTATGGAAATAGAAGAAACAGATAAAATAAAGGCCCTATAGGGAGGAGAGAGAACATTATAGGAAATGAAGTGGGAAATGGAATGTTTAGTACATGTTCTAACTCTTTTACAAAGAGCAATATGAATATGAAGGTCATAATTAGACGGATTAGAATGAGGACTAGGATTATCAAAAGGATTAGAATCAGGACTAGGATCAGAGTCAGAAGTGATTAAAGAGGACTTATTAGGTTCTTTTGTATTTTCAGGACCTGAAATTGGAGAGGTCAGTTCATGAGAAGTCACATGCTCCATGGTTGTATATATATTATCCCACCATCGGTAAATTTTCAAGTTAGGTCTATCCAATCTTCCTATAGATTTCGATGGTTTGTCTTTTTTATTTCTTATGTCCATAGGAATCTCCCCCTATAAAGGAATATCTCTAGCTTTAGGATTATTCATCACCTCTTCCATCTGATTCTCCCCCCTAAAGAGGTGGCTAGGAAGGAAAATAAGGTTCAGATTCTCTAAATGTAACATCCATGCCTGCCAAATACTTTCTAGAAGGGGGTGATAACACTTATCTCTCTTTTTGAGTAGTTGAGTAGCCAACAAGCACACCTTTGGAGGTGCAAATGTAAGTTTTTTGCCT